GGTCTAGTGGAAGGTGTCCCTGCCCATGGCAGGGGGGGGCACTGGGGGAGCTTTAAGGTCCCTTTCAACCCAAACTGTTCTGGGATTAACAGCTGTGGTTTTTTTTTTTTCCTTGGTTGGTGGTTTGTTTTTTGATTGTTCGTTCTATTTTGTTTTTTCTTCTTTTTTTTTTTTTTAAGACACCTAACTTGCAGTTCAGAATCTCAGGCAACAGAACTTTTGCCCTTCAGGGACAGAACATTTAAACGTTATATGCAAGTTTTCCACAAACCCGTGGGTCAGTATTGCTGATAATAACACATTAGCTGATTTGAAAAGGCTACTTATATTCTTACTTGTCTAGGTGTTCCAGCAACGACTGGCAGACTATTGTCAAATATCCAGCCTCCACTGCATTATGAGACACATCTAAAACAAATAAATACACCGCAGGCTGAGGAGGACGAAGCTACAAAGTAAAAAAATAAAAATATTTTCAAAAATCATATTAAAAGAAATGTAAAAACGATTAGTCATTAGAAAGGGAAATGGGAAAAGGGAATACTTTGAAAAATGCAAGGTATACATTATGCAGTAAAACTGATTTGCTAACGTCATGCGGATAGACTCTACCACAATTCCCAGTGGTTAATAACCCCCATTTCTAACGAGCAGGCAATCTTATGCCTCAGAACAGAAACTGGATATTTTAGTCTCTCCTTCCAACAGTCAACTGCAACATGACTTTCTGATGCCACATATGGAATTCACTCTTCCCAACACCACTGTTCTTTCAGGATGTGGACGACATGACCCATTAAATGGGGTTAAAATGTTCTACCTACATCCTTTTCCCAACCATATAACAAGCTGCATCTAACCACTGCCAGGCGCCTTGGCCACAGTTTTCTGATCCAAGGACAAGAGAACAGTTCATTTTTGCTGTTGTTAATCATGTCATTATGAACAGGGTCTTTTCCCAGGCCTTGTTTATCATTCCTGGAGTCAAGATACTCTCTCAGCAATTGTAGGATGACTCCTAGTTAGAACACTGCTGTCACAATCATAAAAATTTGAACTTAATTTTCATGTTATTCCATTACTGATTTTTCAAAAGCTCTTCAAAATGAGGGAGAAACCCAGAAATCACATTGTATCGGTCTCAAGCCACACTATGCGACATTCAACTACCCTGGAAAACTACACACACTGCAATTGCCTCTAACATGACCAACCTCTGAGTATCTATAGTTGCTAAAACTCACAAACAAATATAAATTTTAACTCTTCTCTGGTGTTGGGAGAACCTCCACAGGAAAATTAACACACGCCACTGGAGCGGCATGCAGTGTTAATGTCAACGCATTTATTACTGTATTTATTATTATTATAATGTGCAGTTTTTGTGGAAGTTACCATGAAAACTTTTTTTACCATATAGTCTGAGGAAGCAATGAATTCCACTGTAGAATTTTGGACCTCTGGCCGTTTGTGAGGCTCTCCGTAAGATCTCGTCAGAGGGTTATACATGAATTCTTCAGGAACTATTAAAAAAATAAATTCATTTGCTCAAAAAAACTTGTTTGTATCTGTCAGCAAATAAAAACCATTATGGCAGCCACAAGCAAACTAAGGCAGACGTATTTCAATTATCACAACACAAAAAAAAAATCACATTCAGGGGACAGAAAGTGAAGGAATACTTCCCATATCCCAAGCAACGTCCAAGTTAAATAACTGGAACTGAAAGGAGGGTTATTTAAACCAGCAGTATACCCTCAACTTTAACACAGCACTGCAAATAGGGTGTTTCACAACAAGAAGCTTCAATCTGTTCTGTTTCTTATAGCCTCTGGCCTGGATTGCAGACAGGAGGAGCTGTCATCGTGTTCCTCCTGCATATTGCAACAGCCGACACTAGACTGAGTTGATTTCATTATACAAATAAGCAGGATAATAAGGTTACATTTTCCTCACCTCCCAGAAAATTGCAAAACCACCTTTTGCTTCAGAAAACGCACAGCATGTCTGACTCGGGATGTTTTTTAAAATCTCTGGGTAAGAACGTTGTCATTTCAAACCACATTTTAATCCAAAATATCCCATGTGCTGATGAGATGGAAATACCTGACAGACATCCTATAAACGCAAGCATCTCCTGCTACAAAAACTTACCATCATTAACTCTGTAGCACAGATTGCATTTCCACCTCCTCTGATCGATGAAAGAAACGAAAGGGTTGATATATGTCCTGCAGGATCTGCATCTCACTATTGTGCTTGATGTTATTACTGGTAGTTGCTGCAGAGAAGCAATGGAAAGCTGTTAAGAATTTACACAACACATTTGATGGAAAACATGACTGTCAGTAGAGTGTATAAAAGCTTCAGAAGACTAGATCTGGACCATCTTTCATCTTTTTAGCTCACGTTCACACAGACTAATAACGATGCTTATTAAAAACATCCTCCCCTTTAAAATCAGAAATAATATTTAACTACAGAATTGTGGAGGACTTACCCCAAGGTTTTCCCTTATGAAGTAGCAATTTCAAGGCTTTTTCTCCCCCTCCTCCTCTCTAAGACTCCAACAATTTTTTGCTACTGCTGTTAAATTCAGGGCTTACAGTTCATTATATTTCATTGTTTGAATGAAATTAGGACAAATGCTTATATTAAACATATATACTAAAAAAAGCAAGCTACTTTACCGTTAGGTCTCTGAAGGGATGCAGCAACAACCCCAAAGGAAGCTTCGCTTTGTTTAACAACGCCTGTGTCTGCGGAATATTTGTCAACGTACATCGAAATGAGCTGAAAGGAAGCAAGAACATCACGTTGAAAATGAAATTTTAAAAGGTGTCAACACTCGATTTTAAAGAATTTTGAAATTTAAGAAATCTTGTGTTTTACAAAGCTGATTTAATCAAGAACATTTATACAAAGAGATTTAAAAAAGCTTCCTAAACAAATAGACAAAAAATACACCCCCTGCCCAATCTGGTATCTCAGCAATGCAAGTACAAGCAAACCAAACTTGCAATCGCTGCATTCTTCATTCGTTATCAAGACTTTTTGGGTGAAGGAACTGAAGAAGGGATGCACTACTTATTAGGTCTCAGAAGAAATGATGGAAGAAAAGAGTAGAAAAGGACCTCAAATACTGAGAGAGAGAAAATCTCTTATGTACGTGACGTGGAGGATGGACTTAAAGCTAAATTAAGGGCACTAAAAAGACCCAAAGCATGGATAATGCTGTCCTACGTGTTCCACACCTAAGAATGATTTCAATACCCCCAGTTTCCCCGATTTCTGTGTTCTGGTTGGACCATGCATTGTCCCCAGGGCAGTAAGCCAACTTAATTTGGGGCAATGAATTCTAATTCCAAAGGAAATCTTATTAAGATCTCCTGAGAGAGTCATTTCTATTATACCTAGCTGCACTAGGCTTGGGATAGCAGATAATACACCTTAATGTTAATTAGAGGTGAAAAGATACATCATGGTTGCAGGATTACCACAGTAAAATATACTCACAGTTTATTCAGTGTATTTAGGCACGATCAGCATAGTTTTCTGGAAAAAATCCTACGCAATATTACAAAAATATTCTATGAAGTGTATTGCGTAACATTAAGGTGTTCATTAATAAGATTATCTTTTTTTAGATGGATAAAACAAGGCAAAGATAAAGCAGTTCTTTGGATGGTTTAATGTGAGTTACACTCTCACTGCATGTAATGTATTTGTACATTAGAGATTTAGATTGGATATCAGGAAGGAATTCTTTCCGGAGAGGGTGGGGAGGGGCTGGGAGAGGTTGCCCAGAGAAGCTGTGGATGCCCCATCCCTGGGAGGGTCCAAGGCCAGGCTGGATGAGGCGTGGAGCAACCCGGTCTATGGAAGGTGTCCCTGCCCATGGCAGGGGGGTGGGACTCAATGGGCTTTACGGTCCCGCCCAACCCAAACCATTCGGGGATGCTATGTATTCTAATTCTGTCAGTGTTTGCATAAGGATGCAGAGGGTAAGTTTATTGTCAAGTGAAAGGGGTTATATTTGTCCATCACCAAGATTTAAAGTCAGGAGTCAGTTTAGACATTTTTTGACACTTTAAAAACACTGAGAAATGTCAGATGCTGTTCTAGACACAGTACACTTACTCTGGACTGCAGTTCAATTTCCTAAGATCAGAATTCAAGTTAGGCACAGGTGCTGCAACTGAAGATACAGGCAAAATATTTCTATCTTGTGTAAGGTTTACTGGTCTCAAGCTTTCTGGTTGCTGAGATTGCTGTAGGCTTAACCCTCCTAAGGAAGAGGACAGCTGGTTCACACCTGGATATTGCTGAAAAAAGTAAGAGCATTGCAAATTTAAACACGACTGTGTGTTCAACTCTTCTCGCCATCTCAATTCTTCCAGGCATGTATTAAATACAGATACAGTAGTTAGTAACAAACCCAAACAAACAAGAGAAGGGTTGTATGGTGGAAATTAAAAAAATAATACTAAGACAAATGGGACAGATCTCCCCAATACCCATCATGGGACAAAATTCCAGTTCATGATACAAATCAACACTGGGATTCACACAATCCTTCAGCTTTCCTGGCGTAAGAGAACAGTTCACTGGAAAGGCTGACAAATCTTTCCCCTCTTCAAAGATGTTACAATGAAACTTCTCTGAGTTACAGAAACTGGTTTTCATATATTTTGGTTTGGTTTAGTTTAAAAACAACCACCAGAGAAGAGGAGGAAAGGTTAGGTTGGAGGGCATCTCTCGGATCCAACCACCTGCTCACGCAAAGCAAATGTCCAAGTCGGATCAAGTTGCCTGTAGCCTTGTCCAGCCGAGTTCTGAAAACACCTAAGGACTGAAGACTGCGCAGCACAACCTGTTCTACTGCTTCCCCAGCCCCACTCGGAAGAATTTTCTCCTTTTATGCCCAACTGGAATTTCACTTGCTGCACCTTGTATTTGTTGGGTTTTGTTCTTTTACTGCGTAGTCCTGAGAAGAGCCTAACTTCATCTCGCATTATCGTGAAGATGAACCAAGTCCTTCAACTAAGGACAAAACCACATTTCCAGCTTTCCCCCAGATCCCATTTTACATCACCTGCGTAACAATGAAAGGATTGCTGGGCATTACATGCTAAGTTACAGTAGGACGCTTGGATCCGTAAGGAATTTTGAACACCCACAACAAGAGTGCTGATACATTTGCCAGCTGGGCCGTATTTCAGAGAGTGGGATTGGTAAATCAGTAGGCTGCATTTTCTACTCCACACACTCAGCTCTGCAGAGCTCTTTCACCTGGTCCCTAGGCCATGCCTTGCTCGTAAGGTGATTTAATGCTCGAGACCACAGCCCATAATAGCACTCTGATCATATGTGTATTTGCTGAATACCTCATTATGCTTCTCTATGGTTTCCTAAGAATAAAGTCCAGCTCTTCGGAACACCAAACCTTAACACTGTGGATGCTGCTAATAACTGGTGAAACAAATTCGTTAACCCTAACTGGATATACACTTACAATTTTAATTCAAAAGCCTTCTAATAAGAAGTTAAGATCCAGAGCTATGTCATCAGTATTACACTTAACACTGGCTCAGAAATTGTAAAAAATATGAAAATATGTTTTAAAAAAAGTCTATCACACAGAAAGGACTTTTTCCCATGAAGTACCTTTAAAGTTACAAATACAAACCTGGAGATAGTGCTGAAACCCCGGATGGTGTCCTGGGTTACTGGGCTGCACGGCAGTAGATGGTGCTGTATTTTGGTAGCCAGGCTGCAGCGCTGGATATCCGTAACCAAAGGGCTTCGAAGCTTTTGATGTCTGGGGAGCTGATGGAGCAGGAGCTGGGCTGCTGGTAGCAGAGCGTGTCTCTGGAAGGACAAAAGAAATCCCATAGGTATGGAATATACTTTACATTTCAACCAAGAAAGAAATAGTAACTCCTAAATGCTTGATAAGCGACACTTTTCCCATTTATAAGTTTTTTTGCATCATCCATCAAGTTGTCTATCTGCACTGACCAAATCAGTAACTGCAGTTACGCTGATAAAGGGGCATACATGGGAAGATGAGCATAGACTTGTGTAACTAATGGAAAAATGCTATTTAAAATGCTATTTAAAAAAAAAAAAGGCAACATAAACCAAAAGTATTTTAACTGAATTAAAAAAAAAACCCAAACAACCAACCAAAACCAATGTAACCCATGAGAACCACATTTTATTCCAAGATTTGCACTTGATATAAACCAAAGAGGCTGCTCAGAGAGGTTGTGGAGTCTCCTTCTCTGAAGAGATTCCAAACCCGCCTGGACGCGTTCCTGTGTGATCGGCTCTAGATAGATCTGCCTTGGCAGGGGGGTTGGACTAGATGATCTCCAGAGGGCCCTTCCAACCCTAACCATTCTGTGTGAAAGACTATTCATGCTCAGTCTCTCCTCTACCACTTATAAATACTTTTAAAACATAAGGCTAAGGCAACAGAACTGTTCTCTAAGTGCAGACATGGAGCTCTTCCTGATGTAGTGCAAGTCCCTTCTGTGTATCTTGCAGCACAGTTTGCTCCCAGCTTTTAAAGGCCAAAGTGAAAGTAACACCTAAACCTAATTTCACAGCAAACAGACGTAAAGATGTAAAGCTATTCTTCAGAAATTTCAACAAATGTGAGCTAAATTTCAGAATTTAAGCTTGGAAAAATCCACCAGGAGAAGCGACAGGTGAAGAAAGCAACCGCTCCAGAAAACAACGGCCAAGAAGCTAGGCTGGGCCTGAGCACTCCAGGAGGGGGGAAAAAATTAACAGGTAAATAAATGTAAAGGTGACCCTGTTACTCCTTAAGGAGAAGGAACAAATTATTTTTAGAACATGCCTTCAGCAGAACCAAAAAGGTTAGTAACTAGCTGAGAAATGAGAATCAGTAAACCTGTGAAAATGGATATAAAAAGTGAGGTGTGTTCTCTCTGACAACTTCCCTCCTCCTTTCACAAGCATTTCCTTTTACCTACTTTTAATCAGCAATATAAAAAAGCAGAAATAGAGGGGAAAAAAGATCACAAACAGTGGATATTTAAGACTTTAAACAAACAATTCCAAAATAACATGTGATAAATTGTTTACCTGCATAGCCACCTCCTTCCAGGGCATCGTAATTGTTCAGAACAGGAGAGGCACTGCTTGTAGTAGAGGAACTATCAATTGCTGGGGGAGGAAAACAGTCCGAAGTTAGATGCTTCAGAAATGGCAAATTTTTGAGAAACAGACTGAGAATATTTTATAAAACTTTTGTTAAGAAACTGTAATGAAAGATCCTGGGAAAAAAGACCACCTGAGCCCTAAGACTTGAAAGATGTTACCACTGCAAAGAGGAGGGGGAAGAAGAGAAACAATCAACATGGTATCAAAACCAAACAAGCACATGCCCAACAAACAGCAAAGGAGATCAATGAGAACAGAACAAAACCAATGAAAAAAGATGGGTTTTGAAACAAAAGGTATTTTCCTATTAAGCTAACAAGTTCTTTCTACGCTACATCAACTGAACCAACGCACAGCATTCTACACAGGTCCCTGTCGTGACTTCCTTCACTGCGACTGTTCCGCTCCGAAGGATCAACCATGACCACACATCCCACTGTGAAGCTGGAAGTGATTCAAGGGAGAGCTTCCACGGTGGAACATCGGAGATTTGATCCCTCTTCTACTGAGACTCCAAGCAAAGAGACTCCTGCACGTAGAAACGTATCATCACTGAAACTGGGACACATTTACCACCATGGCAACAGCAGGGCTCTATAGACGAGTTCTGGGCATTTCACCTTTGAAGCATTCAGCTAAGAAATCGAAAAACTATTCAAAACCCCCATAAAATTAACATAAGCTTTTATTTTAAATAATATATGAACACTCTGAAACTCACCCAACTTTAGCTTTCAGAGTGCTTTCACCATAAATTTCCCTTTGTGTTTCTGAATTTTGTAAAAGAACATAACTGCAACATTTCTTTCCTACCAAATTTTATCTTTCAATTCTAGAAACTGAAGGGAGCAGGATTCATTATTCTGTTCCCCGAGCAGGAACACAGCTTTTAAAGGTTTGATAAGTCCTACTACAGAAAAGCTAAAATATACTTTTATTAGGTGAACTAGATCCAAGAATTTTCAGGGAGTTTTTCTTGTCTGACCAGAAGTTAGTTCTGCATTTCAAAAAATACCCTCTCGGTATAAGCACAGTGGTGAACATGTAAGGCACTGGTTTAAGCTTTGTGATTTAACCACTATGTCACTCTTTACGGAGTTCTTCTCAGAATAAGCTGTACTCATAAAGTTTTATCAATCTATAAGGTAATACTACACGAAATGAGTTAGCTCTTTTCACTGGTAAGCTATTAATAACACAACGACTTGCCAAGAAGAAATATTAAATGCTTTCCATGCTCTGCTGGAAAAGGTAAGAGAAACCAATTTGACAAATGCATGAAATAATGCATTTTAAAAGCACACTGTAAGTTAAAAAAATGCAACTTCGTCATACTTCTACTCCAGATAAAACCCCCTATGCATCACGTCTGACAAAGTTCTAGGCCGAAAGTAGAGTCCCAGATGTTCTGAAGCACAAAGACGACCTGCCTAACTTGAAATAAGAAAGCGAATCCTATTACCGAGTACCTCTCATGCTTACTAAAGACTTTCCACTTAAGGTCTTTGCTTCTGAACAACTTTCAAATTTTGTAACATCTTCTTGAGAACTGAGCCCCAGTGCCAACAAGAACTATGATGTTCTACTCTCCACTGGAAAACAAACAGTGAACTCAAACCCAGTGAGTTGTACACTTGCCTGCAGACCAAAAGTAGCTTCAAGCTCTACACTGGTCATATGGAAATCTCAAATTCTCCCTCAACAAAAAAAACCACAACAGAAATTCCACAAAATTCAACAAGTTTTCCTATGCTTAAATTAAGCTACAACAGCTGTCAGAGCTCACTTCAGTGCAATAAACACCTGCCCAGAGAACCCATCAGGAAGACAATTTTTCTTTATAAAGAAAAAAACATTAGAAAACACTGCTTAGATCAAAGTAATACTTATAACATGCTTTCAGGGTGAACTAATTATTTTACAATAGAATTTTTGCTTTCAGATTTTTCCAGGACTCTTCTGCAATACAGTTAAAGACCTAACTGGTAAGAGTGACAAAAAAAATTGAGAAGCCACACAAACAAACAAGCAACCAGATGGACATCACCTGTTTTTCATAAAACCACCGGCACAGCCTGAGCCAGAAACCTCTCTGCAGGGCTTGTTTAGGATTTACATTAACCCCTGGTGACAGGGCATAAACTAGGAAGCCCATGAATCAGGCGGCCCCGTACTGAACCAGGTGTCCCTCCACTCTTCTGCATACGGTGAATTTAGTAAAGGATAGCCCAAAGGCTACAGGCTTTAGCAAAGTACAGAATGCAAGAGGGAAATAAGGCAGGGAGTATGAAAATGTCGTCTTGTGTAGGTTTAGGGAACAAAGTAAGGAGACATGGGCTGGAGATGACTAAAAAGAAAAAAGTTCTGACCCATGCTGTGACAGAAACCTTGGGATAATTCAGGTAATTCAGGAAGTAGCCTTGCAATGAAAGAAACTAAAATGCTTTCCTGGCTCTTTGAGCCTACTCTTTAGAAAGCAGAGTTCAAACAGCAGCTGCATCACAACAGCCAAAGGAAATATATAACCCAAAGAGGAACTGTTTTCTAGCTGCTGAAGTCTAATTAGAGTCATAGCATTAGCTAAAAAACCCTGGTATCTAAAATCAGGGAGTATCCTTAAATAAGAGTTATTCAAGAGTTGCTATGCATAATTTAATACACTCAAACCCGTCAAAAGGCCAAATGTGTTATTACACAAAGGGCAAGAAAGCTAAACTGAACCAATAATCTGAAACAGCAAGTACGGCTGAGGGCATGCAAAGGACCCTAATACTTGTGCTCCACTAAGGATGGGGGAAGAACACTTGTATCGATACTACTGCACCCTCCAAATACTGTCCCTTTCCCAGGCTGGAACCATGACAAGTGTCTGGCTGAAAATGCCTTCCTCCTTGGGAAAAGAACAGCAGCAACTATTTTCTTCCACTGTTCTGCTAATAATTCAATATTACTCCATCGCTCCTTTCTTCACGATATCATTAAGAGCACACTAAGCTATTTTCACAGTATTGGTGACCTGATTTTATTTTTTTAAAAAATCAGAGTTATATGACACCGATTTTTATGCCAAGTTATAATATGACTTATCAGCTTAAAGGTAAACTTAAAACTAGTTTGCTATCCCAAATTAATACTCAAAGCCGGCACACGCAAATGGGAGTCAGCACCAAGTATGTGCTATTATTTCCATCAACAAGGGTCCTCAAGAAGCTTTTACACGGTTACCCTCAGATTTGGGTTGTAAAGACTTTAAGTTAGAAGAAAGAAAGTTACCATCCAAGCAATTAAGGTGGCGAGAAACATGAAACTCCATGAAACATGCCATTCTGATACAGGCAGAATCCTTGCAACCAAGAACTTAATGTTTCGATCAATCAGGACAAAATGCTTCCTAAAGAACCCAAACCAATTAAATAAGCTTTAAGTTCCCTACAAAGCAAGGAGATTAAAACTCAGCCCATGTGCCAGACCATACATACATACCTTAGAAGGAGGAAAAAAAGCAGCAGAGATTAATTTACTGTCTTAAAAAGCACACTTAGTACCTTTCCATATTTACATTACTACCTTAATCTCATAGCTCCCTATACATAAAATGTGAAAAAGGTAAACACAGTTTAATGTAACGCTACAAATGGCATCTAGCTGCTTAACATCAGCAATTACTAGTTCCAGCTCTAGTGCTAATTATCTTCAGTTAAGAGTTTAAAACCTACTGCAAGTCAAAATAGTAAAAATATGGGAGGCTTGCACGTTGTGAATACAAGTTTGTTAGATACATAAACATCTGCTATTAGTATGCTCAAAAAAAGACCACCTCCTGACCACTACTGAGTCCTTGTTTAATGCTAACAACAGCTGGGAAACATCTACTTGACACATGATGAGTCCAGGTGATGTTTTGTCTTAAAGGAAAAGAAAGGTTTCAGGGGATGGAAATATGGAACAAAACTGGAGTAGGGAGAGAACAAGACACTGGTGTAAAGCTAGAGCCAACCTGCTTCCTCATCCTCCTCATCCTCTTCCTCATCATCTGAACTTGATGACAAGGGAGCTGGTGCAGAGCTAGCTTGGTTATTAACATATCCACCATACTGCATGCCTGTGAAGTGGAAAGCACAAACAGGAGAGTCAGACAGACGGCAAAGATGAGGAACAAAAGTCACAAATCATTGCATTAAAAGCGAGAGAAATTAGCTGTTGCAGAGAAAAACCCAACGTGCAAATCTACAGCCCTAGACCACAGAACCACAGCCTGTATCAACTATAGGAGGAGTACAGAAGCAGTTTTTTGTGGGCTAGTTTAGCAAGGTATTAGTAGCAGACAGAAGTTAGCAGGACATTCTGTGTGTCTGCGTGCATGTGTGCACGTATACCACGAAGTTAAAGACACACACACTTTTCATACATGTATTTAATAGGAGTTTGTCAACTGGAACACTTTTGTAAGTTAATATATGGAAATAATTGAGTTTCTTCCCAAATAAATTAAAATTGTGTATATTTAACTTTTTCTTGGCATACCTGCCTCTTTTGAGGCAGGAATCATCCACACTGGAACACTGAACACTGTCAGAAATTAAATATACTGCTACCGTAACACGTGACAGTACAAACACGTACTTGGCAACACAGCGAGGTAGTTGAAGCTAGGTAAACCCTAAAACTTGGCTAGCATTATTAAAAAAACCCTACTGCCTCAATTCAGGCTCACAGACCCATGTTTAAGCACCTAAAGGCACTATCCACTGGTAAGATCCGGTGACAGCACAGCTGTTACCACAATGGTGTCCACACCATAATCTATAAGGTTTTTTGTAGTGGGTTTTTTTGGTCTTTGGGTTTTTTTTTTTGGTTTATTTTGTTTTTACAGTATCTACTCTAAACACACATGAACAACACACAAAAGCAGCGCGTCCATATGCCATTTTAAACCAGAGTCAAACATGCAGCAATGCCTTAGAATTGATTTCCCGTGTTACTCGGTGCTGATGCAATTCCAGCACCTCCAGAAACCTTAAGTTTCTCTTGCCAGGGAGCATGGTTAGCAAGGCTTTTTAAATATGCTTCTGGTCAGGCAGACATCCCAAATAAATGCAAGTGAACGCTGTTTCTCTCTTCGCAATCCCCTGGGTTGCTATAGCAAGAAAATACCCTAACTCTTCAAAACTCCTCACAACTCCTCAGACTCTTGAGAGTTTGGGATTTTTTAACCCACGCAGAAGCACTGTGGCACCACTACGTTCTTTATTTTAACACTATAACACAGCACAGAAGTGCTGTATGCTACGCATCATCTGAAACCACCGTGGTAATTGATAATCCTCCCCCATCAATACGGTTATCAACTACTCAACTTTTACTTAAACTATGGGCTAAAAACGCTGTTAGGTTTCATGGCTCTTTTTAAAAGGCTCAGCAAATGAACCACTGCAGTTTTAGTCAAGAACAAACAACAGAATGAAGGTGAAGGGTATCTGTTTCAGCGGAAGTAAAAAGAAAACAGAGCAAAACCATGCCGCAAGAAGCTGAACTTTCATAAAGAGGCCAGTGCCTGAAGACACCAGTATTACTCCACTTCAGTGCATTAATGGCAACCAAGTTTCTCCGCAGTACAAGCCGTCCCAACGGCGAAGGGAAAAATCAGCCCACGCTGGGAGGTACAATGCTTCAGTTTTGCTATACTGCTAAAACACAGGGCGAACTCAAGCGAGTCCCACATTTACGGAGGCTACTGGGTGTATTTGATAAGGAGGGCACAAGAAAACCGTTCTCTGCACAAAACCACACCACAGCCAAGGAGACTGTGTTTTTCCTCAGGCCTGGGAGAGCTACCGAGGAACAGGACGAACAACTGCGTTATTGTGAAGGGGAAAAAACAACTTCAACGTATTTAACGTGCTAATAATAGGAGAAACAAGCCAGGATGACGAGAAAAGATGCAGTGTAACCAGAGAGATGATGTAAAAGAAAATGGGCACATCGTGAGAGTGCAGACATCTCCAACAAATACCACGTACACAGACATGAGAAGAAAGAAAGTAAGTACATCTTCCAGGAAAGGGCATGGCAATGCCAAAATTCCAAGCATGGGATGGTGAGGGGGCAAAAAGACCGAATTCATTGGTCTACTAATATGCTACTTCGGAGTCTTTGGAAAGGTATTTTTGGAAAACAAACTTCTACTGCTAAAACTCTCCCTTTTCCAGTCACTGATGACATAGAATCATAGAACGGTTTGGGTTGGAAAGGACCTTAAAGCCCATCCAGTTCCAACTCCCTGCCATGGGCAGGGACACCTTCCATAGACCAGGTTGCTCCAAGCCTCGTCCAGCCTGGCCTTGAAGACAGCCATGCTTAAAGGAGGCATCTGTTCAGACAGAATACAGGAGAAGGGATTTAAAAATACGCTCGTGACACAGAAGTTCAGTAATCACAAACTAGGTCACTACGCACCCTCTGGAGACAGGGCTGGTTGGGCTCCTGTTTTCATGACCAGCAGTACTACAAACGTGTGCCTTCAGGATACTCCTGCGGCGTGCCAGCCCAACTGCACAGCCACAAAAACCACCCCTGAACTGGTCTGGCTGAAAAATAACCTGGTTTAAAGAGCCATTCTCAGGTGGAGAAGCCTAATCGTGATCTCTGGTGTCTCTTTTATAGAGTGGCTAATAATGTTCAAACCTCCCATGCCTAAAACTGCATAAGCTTATTGTTAAATGATTATTTGTGTTGACCGAGATCTGGCTTAAAACACAACCACATAAAGTTAAATCATCACAAATTTCTCAGACTTTCTGGTGCTGGAGCAGCTGCTCCTGAAGGATGGCACCCCATGGGGGGGGACCCACGCCACAGCAGTTCCTGGAGAACTGCAGCCTGTGGGGCTCAGGTTGGAGAAGCTGGTGGAGGACTGTCCCCCATGGGAGGGACCCCACGCTGCAGCAGGGGCCACGGGTGGGGATCCCTCCCCCTGAGGAGGAAGGAGTGGCAGAGACAGTGTGTGATGGGCTGACCACAACCCCCATTCCCAGTA